TTATTACGTTTCTAACAAGCCCTATTTCATAACTTATTATACAATACGAACCAAGATATCGAGATTTAAAGGTTCGGTGAAATGGGTTTTTCGTTACCTTCGAATTACCGTTCGATTCAGCTCGTGGCTGTATCCCCTTCCTCAAACGATTCCTCAGCAACAACCCCTCTTCCTTTACCCTCGATTGATGTCCAATTTTAAGCAACCAAAACTCGAATTCTCAGAAAGTTTCCTCCTCTGTTTTCTGGGTTTTTCACGAATCACCAATCTTAGTTTTTCTTCCTTTTTAAAGCTTAATCCAGCCCTAATACGCTTCCACCTCCTCTAATCATCCTCTCTTTTCTTTCTTTTCCCTTCAACCACCTGTCCATTCTTCCTTTCTCCATGGCAGCAGCTTCAAGCTGCTGCTGTCTTCTTCTCTTTTTATTTTTATTTTTATTTTTATTATTATTATTATTATTATTTTATTATTATTATTTTTTTTTTTTATTTAATTAATTAATTTATTTATTTATTTATTTATTATTTTCGGGTTATTACACTTAGCGAGCTAAAGCTGACAATATCTACTAACAGTGGGCTTCAACTGTTACAAGATTGAAAAACTTTTAGATCAATAGATAGTTGTCGTCATTGCTTATACTAGTCAATGGACTAGTGCATTGACTTAATAGCAAACAAGACTAGTGCATTCATGACAATAAACCCTCTCTACAAACAACAAAGTCTATATTGTCCGGCGGTTGGAATAGAGGACCCCAACGTCTCAATCATTTGGAATGGAGGACCCAACGTCTCATTGTCTAACAGTTGTCTACGAAAATTTGATTAAGGAATCTTTTGGATTCATGAATACTTTTGGTTCATTCATCACTTCGATTCATGAATCTATTGAATTCATTTGATTCATCCCCATCTTTATTTATGTATGAGAGTTAGTATTACTATGCTTATATAAAAGTCTTTCTAGTATTGTTACGAGATATTAAGTCATTGTCATTTTGTATTTTTTTTAAAGGAAATTGAGAAGAATTTTGTACGTGAGACTTTGTAGTATAAGAGTGTGAAAGATATATTTATAAATATTTTGATTATAATAATTGACTACCACCCGTGAATATAAAAGAATTTCTTATTTCTAAACCATGTAAAATCTGGTCCGTTGTTCATTATGTTCGTAGGTGTGAGTATGATGTTCTTGTTTCCGCTTTACTCCTCCATGTGATCATTTATGTGAGGCCACCATCAGTAGTTTACTTGGTCATCCCAACCTTAGCCTTCTTATTTCTTCCACTTTCAATACCTTCTCTTCTTACTCCACGCCTCTCTTCCATTCTTCCCTCAATTTGCAGACAAGGTATTTTTTCGTTCCATTAAATTCATTTTTGCTTCCTTATTTTAGTTTATTTTAAACTATATTCAAGAAAATTTGAAAACGTAGGATTGAAGTTCATCAAGCAAACGACACACCTTACAATATGGCAGAAATTAATGAAGTTGAACAAGTTGAACAACCTCGTGGTAATGTCGTACTATCCATAAAAGAAATGATGGACAAGCTGCCTCCTGTTAATGTAGAATGTAGCATCTTTCGAGTTCCTAAACTGTTACGCAAGATGAATCATAGAGCCTATACCCCTCAAGTCATTTCCATAGGTCCATTCCACCATCATCGAAAAGATTTGTTAGCCACTGAGCCATATAAGCTTCGACGTTGTTTGAACTTTCTAAGTCGTCTAGGTAACCAAAGGGATTCATTGGAGTTCCTTCAGAAAAATACTCAAAATTGGATGAAAGAAGTTCGAAATTGCTATGCAGAACCCATAAACATGAATGATGAGAAATTTGTTAACATGATGCTTGTGGATGGTTGTTTCCTAGTAGAGTTTTTGATACAACATCATAACCAACACTGCCCAAATACATGCTTCCAAACTCCAAACAATTTAGATCTTACCTTCCACCAAAGATCTATGGAGCTATTTACTGATTTGATTATGTTGGAAAATCAAGTCCCTTTCTTCCTTCTTGAACGTCTGTTCGGCCTCATACCAAATATAACCTCTATCTCCTTTATAGAATTAACATATATATTTTTTAGACGCGAACTTGTTGACAATTATTCTCTTTCTGATCTATCGTCCATAAAACCAAAGCACTTGGTCGATTTTTTAAGCTTCTACTTCGTCTCAAAGACGTCTCTAGAGAACAATAATAATAATCGCCCGATAACTCCTCCATCGATAACTGAGCTTCACGAGGCTGGTGTCACCATTAAGAAAGCAGAAAATGCCAAATGTGCAATGAACCTAAGCTTCGAAAAGGGGATTTTCAAGATCCCACCTTTAAACATTGATGATTTCTTCGAATACACCCTGCGAAATCTGATAGCATTTGAGCATTTTCCCTTGGGTAATCAAAGCAAGTGTATCCAATATATCGCATTCATGGATGATTTGATAAGCACGGAGAAAGACGTGAATTTACTTGTGAAAGCTGAAATCATAATCAACAATATTGGAGGTAGTGATAAAGAAGTTTCAAACTTATTCAACAATCTCTGCAAATTTGTTGAACAACCATGTGATGGCGAGTTCAACAATATCAGCGAAGCTTTACATAAGTATTGTGAGGGAGGATGGAACAAGGCACGAGCTTCACTTATACATAACTATTGTAATACGCCATGGGCTATTGTCTCGTTTTTTGCTGCAACCTTTCTTATTATTCTAACTCTCTCTCAAACCATATTCTCTGGGATATCTGCATTTCCCAGTAAACATTAGAAATCCATATAATATATGTATGTTTCTTTTACTGGGTTGCTTCTCTTATCTAGTTAAGTGTTAACAACATTGTGTCATATTTAAGTTTGTTACCGTGCTTTAGTTAGTTAATTAATGGGCCTTCATTTAATAGACTTGTAAGCCCAATAAGCAAACAACATATCGTACCATATGATTGAAATTAGTGAGATTGAACAGGTTTGTGTAATTGTGATATCCTTTAAAAAAAAATTATGGAAGAATATGCTCCTGTTAATAATAAAGAATGTACCATTTATCGAGTTCCTAAACTACTACTCAAGAAGAATAAAAGAGTCTATACCCTTCAAGTTATTTCCATTTGCCCATTACACCATCATAGTCAAAAAGATTTAATAATCACATAACCATGTAAGTGTCAACATTGTATTGACTTTCTAAATCGTTTAGATAATAAGATAAGCTCATTAGAATTCTTCGTGAAAATCGTTCAAACTTGAGTGAAAGAAGCCCAAAATTGCTATGCATAACCCATAGACATAAGCGAGGATGATTTTGTAACAATGATGCTTCTGAATGGTTGTTTCATTGTTGAGTTTTTGATACTATATTATGTTAAATACTGCCTAAATGCATTCTCTCGAACTCAAAACGATGTAGATCTTTTCTTATACCAAAGAATCCACGAGATATATACCGATTTTCTTATGTTGAAAAATCAAATCTCTTTCTTCACTCTTCAACATTTATACGACCTTATATTTTATTCTTACATTGTGGATTTGGAGAAGATGAGAATTCTTTTTCTAATAAGCCAAAACACTTGGTTGATATTTTGGTTGATATTTTAAGCTTCTACTTTGTTGTCCCCATCATGCTTGTGAAGGATGACAATAATAAAAAGAGCAAGACTACTCTTCTATCAATAATTGAATTTTACGAGACTAGTGTCGTCATAAAAAAAAAAATAGAAAATGTCGAATGTGTGATGAACATAAACTTCAAAAATGGAATTTTCACAATCCCACTTTTAGTTATTGATGCTTTCTTCGAATTCATGATACGGAATTTGATAGCATTTGAATCGCTTCCCTTGAAAAATCAGAGGAAGTGTATCTCATATGTCGCATTCATGGATGCTTTGATAAACACAAAGAAAGACGTGAGTTTACTTGTGAAAGCTTCATTCAAATGTAACTATATCAATACACTACTAATTATTATCTACTTTGCTGCAACGTTGGTCATCGTATTGAAACTTATTCAAATTATATTCTTTGTTATATTTGCATTTTTTTTTAATAATTTGACTCCCTTGCACCTTAAATGTTTATCTTGAAGTTATTAATATTTTTTAAATACATTATGTTATATTTACCATGCCTTGAGTCAGTTAATGAATACGACAATTTCTAATTGCATTTTTCATACAATTTTCAATCGTTCTTTTTTTTTTTACTTCAATTTTCTCTCTCCTCTATCGCAATGCACTCCTAACATCTCTTAATTATTTTAAATAATTTTATTATACTCGTTAATTTTAGATAATTAATCATTTAATTTTCATCCACTAATAAATTTTACATAATTAATTATTTAATTTTTATCCACAACATGTGTTCCGGATAATATGTCTACAAGCTTTTGAATTTATTAAGCAATCAATTGTAATAATTATTTTCATAATTGAAAATAATTAGAATCAATTGTAATAATTATTCTCATAATTATAAATAATTATTCTCATAATTATAAATAATTATTACGATAATAAAATTGAAGAAGTAAGTAGAGATTATTTTATACAATTATGATAAAAAAAAATTATTAACAGGTAAAAAATATAATGAAAAAAATACATAAAAAGAACTTTTACCAATGTTAATTTTTATTTTTGTTTAATCTTCAACTTTATAATTAATATACAAATAGATCATAATATTACAATAATTAAAGCCACTTTACACCTTTACAAATGCTTTTATGTCGAAATTGGGAGAGAAAATATTGAAAATTGTAACCGATTTCAATTTTTATTCAAAACTAGTTTTTAGTTTTTCTTTCTTATTTTGTAAATACAACCAATGTTTCACGTGCGACCACTAAAATTTGGTTAAGCTGACGTACTCATAGTGATGAACCCTCTATTGAAGATATGCACGTGAAGACATTTAATGCTATATATCCATAGCTCTCTGATACTTGAAGTTTCTTTTATTTCGTTCACATCCTTCATCGAAAATCATCATGAAGATGAAAAAATGTAATTCTTTTGCAAGTGAGAATTATGACATGACATGCCAATCACTTTAAACAAATTGTCAAACCATAATAGAGGACATGGATTTTTATTCAGATTTGAAAACGTCCGGTTTCATTTTAAATGGAAAATGGTCAGATTGGAGTTCATCAAGCAAATGACATATCATACATTATGACAGAAATTAGTGAAGTTGAACAACTTTGTGGTAATCTTGTAATATCCATAAAAAAAAGGATGGAACAATTACCTCCGGTTAATGAAGAATGTAGCATATTGAAAATTTCGAGTCCCTCAAGTCATTTCCATCAGTCCATTTCACCATCGTAGTCCAGATTTGATAACCACAGAACGATATAAGGTTCAAGGTTTTGATAACTTTCTAATGCGAGTAATAAGATGAAATGTTTGAATAACCCGAAGAACCCACTGGAGGTCCTTGTGAGAAATACTCAACGTTACGTTGCAGAATATTGAAATTGCTATGCTGAACCCATAAACATGAATGACATGGATTTTATTGAAATAATGATTATGGATGGTTGTTTCGTAGTGGAGTTTTTGATACTGTACTATGAAAAATACCAATGGACGGTAGATTATTCATTCTACAAAAGAATCCCTCGTATACATCCTAAAATTCCAAACAATCTTAGATTATTCATTCTACAAAAGAATCCCTGATATAGATCTTGATTTGATTAAGCTGAAAAATCAAATCCCTTTCTCGGTTCTTAAATGTATGTTCAAACTTATACTAGAAGATGATACCTCCATCTCCGTTATAGAGTTTGCATACATGTTTTTGCAACATGGATTGGTACATCCATATAAACTTTCTACTCCCTTGTCGAGAATACCGAAGCACTTCATCGATTTTTTAAGCTTGCACTTTGTCGTTCCCACAAGGCCTGCCTTTTGTGGTCAACGTTGATAAAACCAAATTGATTATTTCTCCATCAATAACTAAGCTCTCTCAAGTTGGCGTCACCATCAAGAAAGCAGGAGATGCCAAATTTGTGATGGACATAAGCTTTAAAAATGAGGTTTTCAAAATTCCACCTTTAGGGATTGATGATAACTTTGAAACCATGATTCGAAACTTGATAGCATTTGAGCAAATTTCCTTAGCAAAGGAGAACAAGTGTATCCAATATATCACATTCATGGATTATTTGATAAGCACAGAGGAAGACGTGAATTTACTTGAGAATGCCGGAATTATAATCAACGATATTGGAGGCAGTGCTAATGAAGTTGCAAAACTGTTTAACGATCTCTGTAAATTTGCCACAGTCCCACATGATACCTACTTCAACATTATCAGTGCTAGCTTACATGAGCACTGCAATAAACGTTGGAACAGCGCGAAAGCTATACTCAAACGTGACTATTTTTATACACCATGGGCTTGTGTCGCTGCTTTTGGTGCTGTCTCGGTCATTATTTTGGCCCTCCTTCAAACTATATTTTCTGATATATTTACATTTCATGAATCGTCAGATTTTTTTTAAAAATTTTGCTCAGTTGCTCCTTACCTTGTAAATGTCATCCTTGTATTTACCAATGTTTTTTTTTATAAATAAAAAATATGTTGTATTTGTATCTGTTACCTGCCTTTACTAATCATTTATAATTTGTATTTACCTTTATTTTTTTAATACTATCTTCCTTCATTGTTTTCCATAGAAGAAGCAAAATAGAACGTAGGAGTACCTACTTGATACCCTAAAAAATGACATACTAACTTTCTAACCACTATTAACTTTCTAACCACTATGAATAATATGAATAATAAGATGGGCTCGTAGAAGTTTGATATGAACTAAGACATCTCAATATTTACTCAGTGAAAAATAAAAACAAGAATTAAATATACTTTTAATTCTCAAAATTTGATTCAATAAATGACTATTTAGTTTATAAATTTTAAGAAATCTCTTTGGTATATCATAGAAAACTCAAAAATTAAAAATTTTAGTTTCATCACACATATAATTTAAATTTATATGTAATAAAATAATTAATTTTTTATTTGTTTAAATAGTGCACTTCCATTATTGGTCTACACCTAATTTATTCTCCCTCAAAAAGGTCAACAAGGTGCATAAGCCTTTGAAAAGAACGAGAAGAATAAAAGTCAGATAAAGATTGGAAAACTTTTACAGTGTGGTGATCATATCTTATGACTTATACTTATCAATGGACTCTGCTTTTGGAATAGGCAACTCCTTCATTTCAATAATTTGGAAGAGGATCCATGGTCTCAATAATTTTAGAATAGAGGACCAACATCTTATTGTCTAATAGTTGTCTATTTTACTATCGAGAATTGTCATGAACATTTGGCTCATCCCCATAATAGTACATTCTTTTGCATTGGTACATGATGATTAATGCAAGAGCATTAGTATTCTTATGCCTATATAAAAATTTGTATAGCATTATTTGTAAGGTGAAGTTAGTATCATTCTTTATCTGCCTAAAGGCAATTGAGAAGAGTTTTATAAGTCGTAGATGTAGAATTTTTTGTCTTTGAACCATGTAAATCTTTGTGTCTCTTTGTTCATTTATGTTCGTGGGTATGTGAGTACGATCGTTCCACTACAAATTTATACCTCAATGTGATCAATTATGTGAAGCCCCATCATAATATATTTTGTTATCAATAGAGGACCAATTGTGTTATTGATTTTAATTGATCTATATTGACTCTCCCACGTGATAATGTTGGCCTTACCTGCCTATCACTAGTTGGTATATACTTCGTTTACCCATTCATTTATTTCAGTTTAAATACACTTTAATTCTTTTCTTCCCTCATCTTCATTTGCTACCAACACCTTCCATCAATTTGCAGGCGAGGTACTTCTTCCTTTCTCTCCTTTTATTTATGTATTTATTTATTACTTATTTATAAATTAGTTTTTTTGATATCCCTATGTATATTCATTATTTAGTTAGTTTCTAAAGTATATATGCATTGAAAGCTGATTTGAAAACGTGGATATTTTCTAGTTCAAATGGAAAATAATTATATTGGAGTTCATCAACCAAAGAGCATATTTCGGCCGGAATTCATGAGCATGAACAAATTTGTGGAAATGTTGCGATGTCTATAAGAGATAGACTGGAACGACTACCTCCTATTATTGTAGAATCTAGCATCTATCGAGTTCCCAAACTGCTACGCGAGATGAATAATAAAGCCTATATTCCTCAAGTCATTTCTATCGGTCCATTTCATCATCGTTATCCAGATTTGATAGCCACCGAACGATATAAGCTTCAAGGTTTTAATAACTTTCTAATTCGTCTAAATTATAAGATGAATCATTTGACTAGCCCAATGAACCTACCGGGGGATCTTGTGAAAAATTCTCAAAGTCAGGTAGAAGAAGATCAAAATTGCTATGCAAAACCCATAAACATGAATGACAAGGATTTTATTGAAATTATGACGGTGGATGGTTGTTTTATTATGGAGTTTTTGATATTATATTATTCATTCTACAGAAGAATTCCTGATATAGATCTTAATTTGGTTAAGCTAAAATCAAATCCCTTTCTCCTTTCTTCAACGTATGCTTGACCTTATACTAGAAGATGATGTCTCCATCTCCATTTACAACTTGCATACGTGTTGTAAAAACACGGATTGTTTCATAAATATCATCTTTCTAGTACCTTGCCAATAACACCGAAGCACTTTGTAGATTTCTTAAGCTTGTTATTTGTCGTTTCCACGATGTCTTCTGTGGTTAACGTTGATGAAATCAATTTTGTTATTCCTCCATCAATAACTAAGTTCTGCGAGGCTAGTGTCACCCTCAAGAAAGCAGAAAATGTCCAATTGGTGATGGACATAAGCTTTAAAAATGGGGTTTCGAAACTTTATAGCATTTGAGAAAATTTCCTTAGGAAATTTCCTTAGAACCTTTACCAATGTGTCAAGTGTCAAGTTCAATGATTGATCCCGTGTCAAGTTCATGTGTCAAGGGAGATTTAAATCATTCTACAAATAAGATCAATTATGTGTCAAGTTCAATGATTTAATCCATGACAAAAAAAAAAAAATTGTTTTTTTTACTCCATTTTCCAAATCTCCCCTAAAAATATAACATACATATTTTTATATAACCTCACAATGAAATCTTTGACCTTCCATAAGATATTTCAAGAGTTTGATCTTCCATAAGTCATGTGAGATGCCATGTAATGTAAGAAACGTATATACGATGTTAGCAATGTTTATGTAATGTCATGTTAGATATGTTAAGAGACCTCATGCATATATGTATGTCACGTGCATCAGGATTCTTCCCCTTTATGTTACAAAAGAATGAAATACGATATTTATGTTCGCCAGGATAACATGCAGGCCCTTTTCTGTTCTTTGGTGTCCGGCGACGTATAACACGTTGTGCTCGACCAAGTTAGGCCTAGTGGGTATGTATACGAGCCCGCCTGGTGGGTCCATGTACGCATACATGGGCCGTGTGTGAAGGAGTACAACACACACAACTCTACCCAGAATAAAAAAGTGCCCAAGGCTATGTAAAGTTTATGAAAAGTTAGATCCCACTCATATGTTGCATGTGTTCGCATTTGTAACCCCAACAGTAGGGTGACGTACTGAGTATTTCATAAAATACTCAAGCCACGTGCAACCTACATTTTTCAGGTAAAGACAAGGCGCCAATGTACGGTTGATGGTGGAGTTGAGGACACCATGGAAGTTGGAGATGAGATATTTTTAGGAGTTTACGTTTATTGGATGTTTTAAGTTATAGAGTATTGTTTTATTTAGATTTATTTTGATACCACCCAAGTAGTTCTCTATGATCCCTCCCTCAATCAGCAATTTCACATCTTGGTCGGACTGGACCAAGCACGGCATAAACACAGCAAAGTTGCTCACCACGTTCCTTAACTCACTGCCAGTATGGCATTGTTCATAAGCTATAAGGTTCCTCACATGCTTTTTAAAATCGTCATATATGTTGATTGGTAGCAGTTGTAGACACCCACCTTGGTCATTAAATTCTATGCCATTCCCCCTCCTAAAAATAACGCCGCATTCGTGAAGCTCGGTAGCATTGGGTGGCGAAGATAAGTATTGGTTGGACTTTTTATGGGAATACGTACAATTAGGCATTCTTATCGGTGGCCAAAAGATGGAGAGAATTTTAAGAGTACATGTGAATGTCAAATAATTAATGTCAAATAATTAATGTCAAATAATTAATGTCTTAATTGTGCTGTTTATTGTTTATTAATTTAATTTCTTCATCTATTCAACCTTATACCACATAATTCGGCCCAGCCCGTTCAACATTCTCTCCTCTGAAACGGTTTCCAAATTGGGCCCAGCCCATTCAACATTCTCAATTTTCTGTTTCCAAATTCGGCCCAGCCCATTGAAACTTCAAACCTGCAGTGGACAACAGATCCCTCCCCATCGGTTTTTCTAATTAGCCCGCCATTGCCCAGGCCTCTTCTTCCTTCTCCCACATCTCACCTTTCTTCTCCAGTTGTCAACAATGGCAACCTCCGCGCCATCGTCGACATCAACATCATCCACGGGTGGGATCACAAGTCTTTCTCCGGTTCGCATCTCGCATCTATTTCTTCCTTATTATACTTCAAATCCCTCTCTTCAGGTGTGTTTTCATTTTCTTTCCCCCTCTTTTTTCGCACTCTGATAGTAGGAATGTCTACTCGCATTTGTTGTTAGCGTTAAAAATTTTGGATTGTATGAGAGCGATGCCTTGTCAGTATCACTCGCATTCACTTCAGTTCTATCGTTGATAGGATACTTCGGATCTGTACCTTCACTTGTTTGTTGCAGTTGAATATCTGTTCTATTTCATGCGACCTTGTATATGTTTGAATATCTGGTTCTCGTAAAGTAGAATTGTAAAGATTGAATTTCTTTTAGCTGAACCGCTTGTCGTCAGTAACTTCATCTTCATACAAGTAATTTATGTGTTGAGTGTCGTGAATTTAAGACTAATTTGCGAGAAAACTCCGGAGGGGAGTGTGTTGAAGAACAGGATGAAAAGATTGAATAGCTGAAGTTTGTGCCATTTTTTTAAAGAGAATTTTCATTTGAACATCTAAATGCTTTACGCATTTCAAGGTGCTTTCCACTGCTTGCGAATTAATGGCTGTTCCTATTGAAAGAATAATGGATCATGGATCTCAGTCGAATCAACATGTAGTAATTCCATACGTTTGGGATGTTTCCATTATCCTTACATCAATATATACTCCCAATATCCTGTACAACACTTCCTATGATTTAAAGAAGCATAATCTTATGTTTTTTTGTTCAATAATATTTGAATCTGTGATATTTCATTTATGCAAGTTTGGACATCCATATAGCCCTAGGTGTAAAATGGATGTGCACATTACATAACTCAAAATGTGTGTTCTCAGGGTCCCGTGCAGATCTGGCATGTGCACAACCCCCTTTGCACGTAACTTCATCCCAGTTAATTGCAAGTGAAGTCTTTCCTGCGCTTGTCGTTAAGGCACTTCTCTATCCTGGAGCAATTGTAAATGGCCTTGTCACGAACTTGACAGTTCCTAGCTGGAGTAACTTGTTAGACATCTATAATTTGACAACGTGAAGGAAGCCTTCGCTGTTACTGATCTTCAACGCTTAGAGGTTCTTTTGCTTGACCTTCTTGTTTATTTTCAATTCGATTTGTAGAATTTGATCTATCCTATGGGTCTATCCTTGGATTCAGGCCCTTATTTTGGTCAGAAAAATTATGATTTATTTTAAATTTTCTGAACGTGGCTGGCTAACAAGACAAGCTTCCTAGAGTTTCCTTATGGAAAACCATCCGGGAATCTGATAGAACTCCTTTATTTATTCACATAGAGTGGCACATAGCCAAGGGAGAATTTGAGAGCCCCTCAACACCAAGATCTTACCCAAAAAGCACTCATATAGTCTATATTCTAAATGCTCTCTTCTAAATGCGAAGCTGACGCCCATTCTTTCTGATGATTACATACTATACCATTGGAAGCTATCACTATCCGCACGCCAAATAGTGATCCAGGTATACAATACTAGATGAGAGATTTACTCGAGTTGAAAATACTGGAAAAGTATGTCCAACAGCCTTTCTCAATTGGGAGACATGAAAAACTTGTGAGCAACAACCGTGTTTGGAAGATACAGATGATAAGCCACCAAGCCAATATGGTCATTGTAAATCAATAGCTGCATCTGTAGTATTTTCAGTCTATATTAAATGACTTGTCGTTTCAACCCAGGTTCTTGTGGGAAGCTATTTCTCAGTGGCTGGAGCGTTTGTGGGTGCTTTGAAGCCCGAGAGGATGAGCATGTTGGGAAGTCTCTTGGTAATTTGGGGTCTTGTTAAGGAAGGAATCCTCGGAAAACCTGTGAACACAGATCCTTCCAAATCTGCTTATGTTTATCCTACAATGGTTGTTGCCGTTATCTGGGCTTTCTCATTGGTTAATTATGATGTGAAGAAGGCAGTTAGAAGTGCCCCTGTTCGACCCATTGCAAAGCCACTTCAGAGCTCATCAAAATCTAAGCTTAAGTGAGTGGAAGTGTAATTTCCATTCTACAGGTTTTGTTCGATTCTCACTCCAGAAGATTTCATGCATAAATATTCATTTTCTTTATCTATTAGTTGTGTTGTGAATGTGATTTACAACTTCTCAGATATTCTTTGCAGCACTATCAGACTTTTCCAGCTTCGGTAAAACTACATCTGTTTTGGTTCAATTGTATGGATCACAGAGAGGAGTTCCTGTATGGTGATCCTGTCTGGTTCCGTCTTGTCTACAATATTGAAACTAATCAGGTAGGTTCAACTTCATATTAATGCATTCTGAGATGGATTTTTAAGGTACATCAAATAGATTGTTAGATTTATTAGGGAGGCAATTTGCGTTTTATGAAACATTTCAAACTTTTAGAGGCATCTATAAGGATATTTTATACAATAATAATTAAAAAAAACATGGGACAATTGGTATGATCTAAATTTATATTTGGTTAAATTGAACTATAGGACTTGAACTACTAAAGGATTTGTAGGATTTATTTATACTTGATTTTTAAACTTCTTAAAGTGTCTAGTAGATCTCTAAATTCAATTGTAATTGTGTCTAACAAGTTTAATTTTTATGTCCAATTAGCTTTGGCAAATTTAAAATTTTAAAAAATTAAAAGATCTTTTGAATATAAATGAATTTTACTTGTAAATATTAAATTTATAATTCCTCAGCTCGACTTCAAAGACTATTTTTATAATTTTCAAACATCAGATCAAAGACTTTAAGGGCTATTTATTATTATTTTTCTTCTATTTGATGGGCCCTATCTTGATTGTCCTCTAACTTGTCGGTGAAGGCTTTGTTGACCAGACTCGAGTATGCACTTCGCCAATCAACTGGCCTCTAATTTCTCGCGACTGCTCTTACTTGCCTTTCCCCTTGTTTCTAATTTCCTTGTTTCTCCGCAGTTCAAAATGGAGCTCTGCGGCCGTCCCAACACAAATGAGAACAACAGTCTAGCAGAAATAGAAAATGAAACTGGTACTTTTGATCCAGTGGTACTATCCATTAATCGTATTCTTCAACAAGCTGTTTCATCCGGTTCTTCAGACGGTACCATTTACAAGGTTCCAGAACCTCTGCGCAGCATCAAGCCAGAAGCTTATACGCCCACTGTCATCTCTATCGGTCCTTTGCACTCCGGTAGAAAAGATCTTACGGCTAATTCACTCAAACCCATGTACCTTCAAAACTTCCTTAATCTCACCAAGCTCCCCACCAACACGATTGTTGAAACAGTCAAGACTTGGGAAAAAAGAGCTCGCTATTGTTATGCAGAATCCATTGAGATGAACAGGGATGAATTTGTGGAACTTCTTGTCTTTGATGGCTGTTTTGTGGTCATGCATCTCATCGGTTATTCCTTCTTCGAACTTCGGGCCTCAGATATGTCGAATTTATGGAAATTCTGGTATGAACTATTTTGTGATCTGATACTGCTTGAAAACCAGCTTCCCTTCTTCCTTCTCCAATCTCTATACGACCTCTGCGCCTCTTCTCAACCTTTGCTGAAAGGTGTGCATTTCATTGAACTTGTTCATCAATATTTCATTGAATCCCACAAAGGAGGGTTGTTTTCTCTTAAAGAACATGTACTTTTGGCTGGCATAGGCGTCCAAGTGAATCATTTTGTTGATTTATTAAGACTGCACTTTACTCATACGCGTTCCGATGAAACGTCCTTCCAGCACACATTTTGGCCACCAAATGCCACTAAGCTTCACGAATGCGGTGTTATTTTCAAGATGGGGAAGGGCATAGCATTTAAAGACCAAGGTGGCTGTCTACAACTGCCGCAAATCAACATATATGATGATTTTGAAAAGCGTGTGAGGAACCTTATAGCTTATGAACAATGCCATATTGGCAGTGAGTTAAGGAACGAGGTGAGCAACTTTGCTGTGTTTATGCAGTGCTTGGTCCAGACAGACCAAGACGTGAAATTGCTGATTGAGGGAGGGATCATACACAACAACTTTGGTAGTATCAACGAGGTTACCCAATTATTCAACAACCTCGGTAAGCACATTTGCCCTGGAATTAACTCATACAATTTTGATTGCAAAAGAATGAAAGATTATTGCAAGCGCCCTCGCCATCGGTGGATTTCGTTGTTGCGACGCAACTATTTCAGCACGCCATGGCTCTGTGCTTCCTCCATTGCAGCCATCCTCCTCCTTGCACTCACTCTCATCCAGACGATTGTGGCTATAGTTGACCTTTTATTCAAATGAGGTTCTTAATTGGATCCAATTCAAATTATGCTTTTTTGAATTTAGAATTCAAACTTCTAGTTGAGAGTTTCAAATCAATGTTTAACTATATGTTCTGTTGGATCCATGTTTAACTATATGTTCATGTTGGATCCATGTTTAACTATATGTTCAAGTTGGCTCTATTAAATTTATATTAAATGCTCATACCACTTTTAGCTTTAAGCGAGAACACCATCTATTTTGGTTGATAACTATGTGAAGACCATCTATTTTGGTTGATAACTATGTGAAACAGAAACCGCAAATGAATTGAAGAAAAGAAACAATCCAACTAATATTAAATTTGACAAGTATATTATAACAATTATATAAGCTTTCTTTGATTTAATTTTTAATCATTTGTACATTTATTATAAATAATGCGCCTTTTTAAATTTACTTAGCAGTCAATATTAATAATTATTTTCAAGTAAATAATTTTAATTAAATTGTTAATAATTAGTACAATAATCGAAAAATTAATTATAAATGTCATATTTAAAAAATCACATATAATTTCAATTATTTTTGTCTAGATGGGTTGGTCTTTCGTGTACCTTAGTACAAGATTAAAAAAGAATGCATTGGATGGATTTTGGGGGCATTGAGAAGGACGGACGGCAAAAGGCCATGGAGAGTTCCATTTGTAATCCATGGACCTTCGATTGAGAAACCATATCCAAGCTCTATGGCTAGTTTGTGCTTTTTGGATTTTTCAAATTTAACGAATTGAAATATCTAAGTTGCTAAAGAAGAAAAATCAACCGAAACCCTGTTAGTAGTGGTGAGTCAACCGAAACCCTGTTAATAGTGGTGAGTGAGAGCGGATTGGGGATTTGAAAAAAAACAAAGACGAAACTTAGTTTACAAATTTCGTTATCTCACTCCTCCCAACATAAACACACATATATTTTAATTTATTATCATTTATAACTATTAAAAATCTCCAAATTTGATAGATAATATTTTTTATCAATAAAAAATAAAATAAAATAATTAATAATAAAAAAGAAACCACAAAACCACTAGTACTAAATTTTTAAATTTTGTTTATTAAGGACTACGTAATTGAATATTTAGGATTATATTATTAATAATAAATCTATTAAATATAAATGTAAAGGTTTAAACACACAATTTTTTTATCTTACCTTTAATTTGAAATATATTTATTTAAAATGATAGTTATATTGGTAAAATTCTAAACATTATTACTATTTTAATTCTTTTTTTAATTTAGTATCGGAAAGAAATGAGAAAGGAAAAAAAAAATTAAGGCCCATTCTTGTCGGCTAACTTTCTAGTTGGACTAAAATAAGTAGCCCATAAAAAGACAGACAACGTTAATTATTATTATTTTTTCTAAAAAAGAAAATGGACAGTATACGACAAGCTATCAATGTAAGCTTCTCAAATTAGTGATAAGATGAATTCAATTTCGATTAAATTATAAATTTAATTCATGACCATTAATATTTATTATTTATGTCTAATTTTTATTTAGTCACTTAACTTTAAAATTAACAAATCAGTTTTTAAAATTTTGAATTTTTATTAAATTCATAAATATGCTAAATACAAAAATTAAAAATTTTAGGTTTCATTGAAAGTAATTTAGATTAAGATCAAGTGGCCATCAATGGAACCTTGCATTTGGAGTAGACGATCCCTCCATTTCAATAATTTGGAATAGAGAATTCAGTGTCTCAATAATTTAGAATAGAGGACCAACGTTTCATTGTCTAGCAGTTGTGTATATTTACTATCGAGAATTTTCATGAACATTTGTCTCATCCCCATAGTAAGACATTCTTTCGTATTGGTATATAAATCATCTTGATTAATGTATGAACATTAGTATTGCTATGCCTATATAAAAGTTTGTCTAGCATTGTTTGAAATGTGAATTCAGTATCATTCTTCATCTACTTAAAGACAATTGAGAAGAGTTTTTGCAAGTGAAATATTATAGTATGAGAGTGTGAGAGATACACTTATAAACACTTTGATTATAGTGATTGACTACCACTCGTAGAAAAATTTCTTTTCTTTGAACCATGTAAATCTTTGTGTCTCTTTGTTCATTTATGCTCGTGGGTATGTGAGTACGCTCGTTTTTGCTTCTACTTCTACTACAACATTTATACTTTCATGTGATCATTTATGTTAGGCCCCATCGTAGTATATTTGATTATCAGAGGACCTATTGTCTTATTGTCGTTTTAATTGACCTATGTTGACTCTCCACGTGATAATGTTAGCCCTACCCGCCCATCACTAGTTGATATATACTTTGGTTATTAGAAGCTTAGCTTAGCCATCAATTTGCAGGCAAGGTACTTCTTCCTTTCTCTCCTTTTTTTTTATTTTTATTTTTTATTACTTATTTATAAATTAGTTTCTTTCGGTTGGGTTTGAAACACCAACCATTCCTATTCCTATGTATATTCATTATTTAGTTAGTTTCTGAAGTATATACGCAGATTTCTGGATATTTTTTGAAGTATATATGCAAATATTTAATACGAAACACCCATTTAGAGTCCACGATGTTAGTGCTGGCAGAGTGAAGAACCAAAGCCCAAGTATCATTTTGTTGTAAAGTTCGAATTTCTTCATCCATTGTAGCAACCAAGTAGGATTCTTAGCCGCAGATTTAAATCCTTTTGGCTCAGTGGATGTAAGAAGAGTAGAAAAAAGTCCAGATGAGCCCAAAATACTAAGATTTGCTAGATGACGAGTCTTGAATATACCAGCTTTGGCTCGTGTGATCATAGGATGGGAGCCTAAAGAAGAGGAATCAACAGTAGGTTCAACAGGTTTGGTGCTATGTTTCATCAGCTGCAAGTCATCCTCGAGTCTCAGTTCACGAGCTTTCGAATGATGGCTGAACGTAGTTTCCAACACAAGCCAAACATCACGTGCAATGGAGAGACCAACGACGACAACAATGGCTTCCTTGGTGAGAGAGGAGAGCTGAAGATAGAGAAGTCGTTGATCGATTGCTCACCACGCCATATATTTGAGGTTGAGGGTTGAGGGTTGAGGGTTGAGGAGGTTTCTGGTTCAAAGCGAGTTGGTGGAACTATAGTTCCATCAACATATCCGGGATTTGGAAGCGAAAGAAGAAAATGTTTGCTGAAATCACCCCACCTCAAAGGTGGTGAAAGTTCTCTAATTATAATTATTTACCTAATAGAGAAATATAAGAACAATAAGAGAAAAGAATTGTAACGACCCAGATCCACCGCTAGCAAATACTGTCCTCTTTGGGCTTTCCCTTTTGGGCTTCCCCTCAAAGCTTTAAAACGCATATGCTAGGGGAAGGTTTCCACACCCTTATTAAGGGTGATTTGTTCACCTCCCCAACCAATGTGGGACATCACAATCCACCCCCCTTCGAGGCCCAGCGTCCTCGCTGGCACTCGTTCCTTTATCCAATCGATGTGGGACCACCCCCAAATCCACCCCCCTTTGGGGTCCAGCGTCCTTACTGGCACACCGCCTCGTGTCTACCCCCCTTCGGGAAACAGCGAGAAGGCCGGCACATTGTCCGGTGACTGGCTCTGATACAGTTTGTATCAGAGCTCTAGGTTATAGATCTTGTAGACTAGCCTACGATGTAGGCTTGGCATGTTCCATGGTCCCACCGTCGGTGCCTCGTCTCCGTCAGATATGTCTTGCGTAAGATAAGAAAATGAAATGTCGTTGATTGTGTATGTTGTTATTGTTTGGTCATTATAAAATATAACTCATAATTGGACTTTACTCTATTGATTGTAATATTATTTACTGCATTCATGTTAGCTTAATTCTATATTTATTATAATTTAGAATACGTTATGTTTTACTAGATGAGTTATGTTTTACCTTGCATGGAATGTGAATATAAATTGTTGTATTGATGATGTTTAAATGTACTGAGATTGTTGGTGTGAATTAGTAGCTATAGTTCTAGTAAGCTACTAAATGTTAGGATTACACCGTAGGGAAAATGAAACGAAACGAAACGAAACGAAACGAATGTTAAGGATATTTAGTAATAAATTATAGTTTACCATATATATTATATTTGATATTTTATTATAAGGCAAATATCTAACATTTGCCTTATTACTATAGATATCTTTCCATTTATTGTTATTTCCATTTATTACTATTTCCATATTCTTGTAATTTATTTGATTATAAATAAGATAACTTTCACACCATTTAGGTGTGGTGGATTCAGCAAACATTAACATGGTATCAGAGCTATTTTGGTTTAGCAACCTAGATCTTTTCTTTTCAATCGCTTTTGAAATCTTCTACTGTTCTTCTCCACCACCACTGTTGTCTTTGATGCCGCAGGGGCAGTCGTCATGGCTGTCACATGCAGAGTCGATTGATTACTCTTCGGCTCCACCCTTTTGACCTCCAAATCATCCTTCGCCATACTCTGTATATACAACCTCACCTTTTCCAAACATAGTCTCTTTCATTTTCTTCCCAATTTTCCCTTTATCCTTCATCCTTCACATAAACCCTAATCTTAGGATCTTCATCAGCATTCCTCTTCAGAAATATACAGAATCTCAATAAGCCTATCGACCTTTTGCAGAGATTTACCTTTGGAATCTAGGCGCCGCACTGGCATCTTCGCCAACCAAGTTGCCGCCGCCCTTCTAGCCAAAATTGGCTCCTTCGCCCCAATGTGGCGTCTCTTCCAGCTGCCCTTCTCGCCAAAATTGGCTCATTCGCCCAATGTGGCGACTCTTCCGGCTTCAACATTGTCTTTGTCCCTTGCTCTAGGTTTCCCCTTCTACTTCTTGGGGTTAGACATATTCTCACCAGAGTCAAGTCAGCATCGTCGCTAAGCGACAATCCCTCTTCATGGGTTAGACATATTCTCACCGAAGCCAAGGCAGCATCGCCGTTGAGCGGCGATCTCTCTGCAGTTTTCGATGGCCAAGAAAGTGTTTCTCTACGCCTCCTCTGAACCAGGTTGTTAACATCTTCACGAAAAGTGTTTCTCAACCTCTTTGAATTTTTCAGATTCAAGCTTTACGTTCGTTTAAATCCGACGCTTAGCTTGCGGTGGGGTGTTAAGGATATTTAGTAATAAATTATAGTTTATCATATATATTATATTTGATATTTTATTATAAGGCAAATATCTAA